GTGATCTGGTGTAACATTGCCAACCGGTAAGGTAGATTCCCCTCAATATACCCCCCACCAGCACACGAATTTGCATGGCTGTTCAGCCCATTATACGCCTTGGACTTGACTCAACCCCGTGGCATGCGGTCAGCTCCGTGTAACGTGGTGTGTAATCCAAGCACCTCCCCGTCAGACGATTGCTATGTATGCTTACTGAGACTCCATCTCCTCCCGCCGTTCAGGTTGGTGTGCGAGAGCACTTCACGCCAATGATTGGATATTGATCTGCAGCATATGGCAGGAGGTGGGAGGAGGGAGTTGGTAATGGGTCAGCATGATGTCCAGCATGGATCCTATAGGTTTATAGGGTAGCAGCCTCAAGTCTAAGAGGGCACCGCTCGAGGGTGAGAATCAAGGTTTTGATCTCCAATGTCACCATGGACACAAGAGGAGGTTCCACATCAGGTGCGGCACGGGAAGAACGAGCTGGTCCGATCAGTAAACATTACGTACCCGACTGGTGACCACTAGTAGTTGCGCAGACTGCTGAGTACTTATAAGACTCGAAAGTCGATGAGTGGAATAGTGTATCAGCCACTCGAGTCCCCATCGCATCTTTCTTCAGATCAAATCACACTGACTTCACAATCACACAATGGCTCTCAAAATTCTCCTCAGTACAGCCCTTACCTTTCTGCTTGCCGGTCCTGTCCTCTCGTCTGTTATCCTCCGCAACCCCGGCAACCTAAGTGGATGGTCCAGCATCCTCCGCGAACACAGCGGTACAGTCGACCAAGTGACCAATGTCGTCTATGCCGGCAGCACCGCCATCAAAGTAACCCAAACTTATGACTCCTCCGGCACATACACTGGTCGGTACCATTCCGAGGTGCACTCCTCCCGCGGCTACCACCGAGGCGAGACTCTCTTCTACGGCTTCGCCTTCCGTCTCTCTGACACGTGGGAGTTCGACTCGGGCCAGAGCTACAACATCGGGCAGTGGATCGCCGACTTTTCCAACACTGGCTGCGATGACTGGAAACCCTCCAGCATGATCTGGTTGGATGGAAACACTCTCAACACCAGAGTTGTGTCTGGCAACATCTGCAACTCTCCACCCACAACGACTTATTCCAACATCGCCACCGTGAGTGCTGGGGCGTGGCACACGATTGTGGTGCAGGCGAGTTGGCAGAGCGATACGAGCGGGTTTTATAAGCTGTGGTTTGATGGGACCAAGGTGTTGGAGAAGTACAATATCAAGACGACCTTGGACGATGATCGCGAGTTTGAGTGGCACATGGGCCTGTATGCGAATAGCTGGCATGACCAGGGTCGCATGGTTGGGACTCAAGGATTTCGCCAGGTCTGGTACGATAACCTGGCTATTGGGACAACGTATGCTGATGTTGACCCGACTCAGTGGTCTTGAGGTGGGAGGATCTGCTGTGTCTTGCACTCATCGGGGTACCACGGAAAGGATATAGGACCGACGGGAGACTGGGCGGCGTGGTTGGCCGTGGTTTGACTGTCTATTTCCCCGTTGTAGCTGAAACGGTGTGAACGGTATCTAGCCTCGTATTCACAAATAGAGGAGGTAGCTTGCAATCATTCAAACTCCTGGACTTATTCGCAGTCATGGTTTAAAGGCTAGCAGTGCGGTTAACTGCCACGTCCATCCTACACACTGGGGAACTTCTCGTCATGTCAATCTCCGTGTTACTCACGCACCTGAGACATTAGTCTTTGCCTCGGATTGATCTCCCACCGACGTGTGTCTCGAGTTGCCCTTTGCTTGACCTTACTCCAACCGATCCGCGATACAGGGTTCCCTCTTTTCGTTTGTGGTATAGGATGTTACGACACGAGTTAACGCAGTAACCCCTTGTGGTGTAGTTGGCTATCACGTTCGGCTGTAAATGTCATTTGTTACCGAAAGGTCACCGGCTCGATTCCGGTCGAGGGGAGCGTCTTGTTTTGTTTGTGAGTCAATTCAGAGCAGTTGGGCCGTGGATTCTGTCTGCGTCACATGACTAAAGTTTTGGTAGTTTATACGGGCGACCAGCAGGTTTTGTCAACCAAACCACCGTGACCTCTCCCTTGTCCAACGTGGTATGGAAATACCTTGGGTCTCGGTTGTATTCTGACCACTACACCGCACTATCATGATAATGAGAAAAGAAACAAAAAATGACTGAAGCGTGATTCGAACACGCGCCTCTTGCGAGACCAGAATACGCCTGTTCTTGAGAGAACAGGAAGCAAGTTGTAGCTTGAGTCTGGCGCCTTAGACCGCTCGGCCATCCAGCCAATTGGGATAATGGATGGTGTATGTTTTCCGTCCATGTTGTTTGAAACGAGTCATGAATATGTGGGTGTTTGTTTGCAGGATGGCGCAGCATGGGCGTCCGTCCAGTCCGTTGGAGTGCATCTGCCTCGAGGTAATAAACAGGTCAGAGTTTGTTCCACTGGGATGGAAAGTCGCGGAGTCCCGGCAGTGTTAAACTTCCATCATATAGTGCGTAATGAAAACCTTAGCTCGGGACATCCCTTTTCCATTATACGTAGCAGGTCGCCGTTGCCACCGAAAAACTGACACGACGGCCCGCCAGATTCGGAGATCTCGGCCATGTCTCCACAGTCGATGACCCGGAGCAGAAGGCCCGCGAAGGAAGAGTTTGGGGAACGCCAAGCTTTGTCTTTCGGTGGCATCTCAAATACCAGACCTACCAACTCACCATGTTATGAGTTCATCCTCTGTTGCAATCAGAAGCGACGTGCGTGGTTGAGGTACTTCTACCTAAGCTAGGTAAGTAGGCACGTGGTAAGTATCTGTATCTCGTACCTGTAGGTAGTATCCGATCGACCAAAACTGCTAGCGAATATCGACATCGAACTAGAAAAAGGCCCATACGCTAAGTAGGCTAGGTAAGCATTGATGGTTGATTTGGACGACTCGGAGTCCATTGGTGAAGATGTCGCCCGTCATATTGCATGGAACGCCTCCATCGCCTTTCATTGGTAGATCAGGCGTACACCTCCAGTTAAAATATTCTTACGTGGGACAAAGTCCCGCGAAATGCCAAACCTCAGGTTTCAGAGCGGGATTGGAGCAAAGGTGGAGAAAAAGTTATAATTTCATGAATTTCGAAATAACGCCCACGCAATATTT